CACAAGGGTAAAGAACTTCAGGTGAAGTTAAAGCAACAAAAATGCTCACCACCTCAGAATGTGTGGCTTTTCTTTTTGTAAACACAGAAGGAGTGGCTGTGTTACTCCATCACCTTTAGGATTAGTTTGCCACTTGCATTTCTAATTAGGCACAAATTTTGGAAGGAAAGGGAACTAATGCTATCCCTGGCAGTGTTTGTACTTCTCTTCGCCTTCCTTCATGTGCTATTTTTAAAGGAAACATTACACGCAAGAGCCCCAAGGCAATGATACCAGTGAAACAATGCCAGCTTGGAAATTTGGAGGAGATTCTGCTTCTCATTATGTAAGTGAGAGGTCATTGAGTGCTTGCTTCTCTCTCTCTCTCTCTCTAGCTCCCCAGCCTCCAGCACGTCCATGGACATTATTCTTTGAATATTTTAAAATTATAAACACAGAAGAGAGCCAACCAAAGTTCCACGGTCCCGGTTGGCTGCACGGATGCCAGTCACACAGAGCAACTGTGTCATAAATCACACACTTGCCTGTGTAGTTGTAAAGAGAACAAGAGAAATGGTCTGAATTCTCACTCTGCTTCTACTAAGCAAGGATTTATGGAGGAAAACCATCTATTTGGAGACTACACTGAGTGACCATGGAATATGAAAAACTAACATTTCTGCATTATAAGGAGATGGGCTTGCAAAATGAGAAATTCTATAGCTAAAATACGGTGCATTTGTGTAGTTATTTTGGAAGTATGAAAAATGCAAAAAGGTACAAAGATAATTACATTTTCTTTGGTCTCCATCTTCAAAGGAAAGGCTTTGAGATAAAAAAAGAGAAAGGTTATTTATCAATTGGGACAGTTTGGTCCCTTTATCTACTTTCTCATAAATGAAAAAGACCGTGATAAGTTTGTTTAAATTCTGAATGTAAACATAGATGATGAATACACTCATGCTATGAAGCTCGGATTTTTTTTTTTTTAGTTTGGTTTATGGAAGGTAGCTGTGTTCATTAGCAGCTTCAAGAATATTGAAGGAAAAGGAAACACCAAATTATGGGCTAATCCTTGTAATTAGAGACTGTCCCTCCAGTATCTTGCACATGCCCATCTGGAAGTGGGCTTAGCAAGCCTCCCATGACTCTGAGAGACACTTGGGCCTTTGAAAGTCACCATATCTGTTGATTGGGACTGCAGGGAAGCTGAATTTAAAAGCCTGCCCACCACTCTCACACTTCTTAATGGCTTTCACTGTTTATTATTGCTGTGGACAGTTCATTTCACATTTGCAATCCTAAGAATGTGAGGTTTCCAAGAACCCACCCTCAGTGAACTTATGGGAAGATCCATTCCTTGTCCATTTTAAAGGCAATTTAATCAGTCTCACTGGGGCCACTCAGTCCATCGAAAATTACTGACAAAGTATAGCTTTCAGTTAAAGGCACATGGTCACTTGAGAAACTTGTTAGTTCTATCACTGCCATCACAGGTAGATAAGAATAAGTGACAGCAAAAATTACCTGTAATGGTTTCAGAATATAAGGATCATTGAGGGAGGGGCTCATTTCATGCTGTCAGTGAGTTGGTATCAGAGAAATGTAATTACTGGGTCACAGATGTATCTCACCATCATTGGACTGCTGCTGCACTTGCTATCTGCTTTATGATTTTTGCATTGTTTATAAAGAAAATTAAGTTTCAGTGTTTGTTTTCTCACAAAGCTTTTACTATATACATTAAGTATATTAAAACCTGATATGTTTCCATGTGACTAGCAATGCTAATACATTGGACAACAATGTTACCACAAAGCTAGCACAGCTAATTTTGTGAGCAATTTATGTCTTCAAGGCAATTAGCTATTCCAAGGGTTGATGTGAGAGTTATCAAAGCAGTTCATACAGGGGCAGAAGTTTCAGGACAAATACATTTAAAGTCCGCATCTCTTCAAGCCTTTTCACTACTTAAGGATGAATTGTTCTCAGTTGGTATTTGCGAGCCACTGTCACAGTTCGGGCGAGGAGGAGGCATCTGTTTCTCTATCCACCTGACAGATTTTCCTCTCAGCACGGTTGCCATGTCCTCCTTCCAGGTTGTAGTCAGTAATACCCTTCTTATTGTGATGTGTCGTATCTAGAGCTGTCGCACGTAACGGCATCGGGGTGTGATAGCTCAGCCAGCTAATCATACCTCTGCAATCACTGCTTTATGCTCTTCCTGCGCCACTTCAAGCCCAGCTTTTGGCTTACAGCCTGGGAAAGCAACAAAGATGTCCCAAACACTAGGGACCCTGCAACCTGTGGGAGACCTGGAAGAAACTCCTGGTTCCTGTCTTCAGATCAGCTGAGCTCCAGCCATTATGGCCATTTGGGGAGTGAATCAGCAGATGAAAGATCTTCCTCTTTATCTCTCCTCTCTGTAAATCTGCCTTTACAATAAAAAGAAATAAATCTTTTAAAAAGAAGCATTAGAACGCTTGATTGAGGGAGTTGCCCTTATTTCTGCTATAGCTGATTCTTATCAACATCATTGGTAGACAATTCCTAAAATAATCGAAACGACAAATTTCAAAATAAACCTTATATTGGAACTTTGAATTGAATCACTGAAGCCCTTAACTCTACTGTGACGGTAATGTGTCTTTTTATTTTTCACCTATCTGGCAATATTAAGCCAAGGTCATTGGCCCAAGGCATATGACAAACCATGCATGCTACTTTAAAGGGGCCACAGAGCAGAGAGTGGCCAGAGACCCAGATTTCTCCATCTTTTAACATAAAACAAGTTTCCTGTTCACTTTTGAATGTTTTTTTGTGTGCATCACTCTCCTCTGGCAAGGGTATAATAAATGAAGCTGGGCCTGATTACCAACATATTGCTTTATTTCTTGGTGGTAGTAAATTAAGGCTTTCTAGAGTCATACAGCACGCAGTGATTTGCACATTAGAATTACAACAACGATGAGCAGTCAATTCAGCAGAGCCAGGAAGGAAGCAATGTTTCAAAACAGATCATTTTCCTAGAGAGGCCCTTTTTGCTTGGTCTCTACAATTCTGCTGAACTGTTTCCCAGTAACCTCTGTTACAGATTCAGACCCCAAAGGAGAGTAGAATAGATGACAAGGAGACTCGGGGAAAGACAGTACAGAAAGATGAGATGTGCTGGGTAATCAGTGTGAAAAAATAATCAGCTTTGTCTCATTGTTGGAAGACTGTTTAGGTGATATGGTCAAGTGTTGGCACTCCATACTCAGAATGGCTCAAGGAGCCATTTGGAATCTTCTGGAAGGACTAAATTGGCTCACTTGGGTGACCTCAGCATGGAGGGCTGAGGATGGTCCTTTGTGAACCTCAGATTCTGAAACTTTGCATAGGATCCGCAGACACAGAGCAGAGTGCCACCTTCCACCTCTTTTGTGGGCCTAAGCTTTGTGGTCCTCACTAGATGCTGTTCCTCACCAATCAAACAATTTGGCTTACTCCCTGGCACAGTCTGACTGCATATCCAAGTTGACGGTGAGATTGATAGGAGACTGTGCTTTTCACATAATGTATGAAAGAATCCTCAGGAGAGATGCCACCTCATCAGCCTGGTTCTCCTGATCACTCGGATGACAGTGGTCCATGGGAGCTACAGTGGAAGTGCAGTTGTTGAGCAGTGACTGTTTGGTCTGTAATGGATATCCTGTGCTTGCATGAAGATGCAGGGGTTTGGGGATGGGATAGGGGAACTCTGAAGGAGAGAGGGACATGGACGGAGAAGAATTTGGAGAAGGTCATATATTTCTTAAGACAACTGAATTTCACAAAAACTAGCAATAGAGTTTCTTCTGGGCACCTGGTTTCATAAATGAGGTTATCCAAGAGATTTCTATCCAGATAGATTCATTTAGAATGCCATCCACTTACCATTTGTACTTTGTAATGATATTAAAGTTCTCTTTCAAAGGCTCGGTTGGTGGACTAGCAGTCAGGTCTCACAGCCATTTGACACTTCTAGGGGAATGTCACTTACACCCGAAACCTGTTTCGCATTCAGCCATGGGGGGGAGGCACACAAGGTGGCAGGTGGCACAGTTAAATAAAACTTAACCCCAATAGGCCTCATGGGATAAAGTCTAGATGCATAAAGAAACAAACAAATGAGAAAGTGGAACTGCAATCTGAATGACAAAGAAGGAAGGCGTCTGTCCCTGGGAACTGCAGGGCAGCTGTTTCTGATGCCTGCCACGTGTGCATTTCCAGTGGTTGGAAGAACTCTGGACGACATGCGTTCCCTGGTGCCTCTCTTGTTAACTAACAATTTTAAGAGTCTTTTCTCCTATTTGAAAATATTCAGGGAAAATTAACTTGATGGGGGATCGGAGGAATTCCGGCATTGCTAAGATGATTCTGAAATCCCTGTACATAGAAACCACAGTGTGGAGCACACTGTGAGAGGGGTGCAGTGCTCAGCCCAGCAGCCACCCAGGGCGGCTCAGAGACACACAAGGATCCGCAGGAACTCAGTGTGATGGCTTTGGTCCTGCGGAATCTCCTAGCGCCTCTGTCACCTCTGCAACAGAACCATCCGGCTGGAGAAAGGCAGATGGCCTGTGTGCTCCACATCACGGTATTTCTCTTTACTGGGCTCTATGTTCTCTGGGCTTTGTAACGGGCATGGGCTAACCCTCCATCTAGATGAACTCGGGTTCAGTGCTAGATGCCAGAGAGGTGGAGTGTTTTGCCTGAGTCTGCATATCAACCCAGCAGCTGAGCCTGGGGAGGAAGACAGGTCTCTGATTCTCCGATGACGGTGGGCTTTGGAAAAAGGTTTGGCAAGAGCTTAATGCTATGGCATCTCTTTATCCAGAATTTCCTGTGTGATTTTGAAGGGTGTGGGTGTCATTAGGCCAATCAAGCTGTTACAAGAGAAGATCTGAAGGGCCATAGGCTTTCATACTTGGCTGTGCTGCTGTTGGAGGGAGGTAGCGGGAGGGAGGAATGTGGAACTTGGTGGAGGAGAGGGGAAAGGGGTAAGGGGTATTCCCAAAGACCCTGCGGTTGGCCTGCCAAGATGTATTGTTGATGACAACAGACACTACCTGAAAGTTGATCTGACTCAAAACACTGTTGGCTGTAACCGAAATCTGTCTCCCTCTCCCAAGCTTTTTTCTTTGGGGGACCTCTGATACCCGTGAGAAAGTGGGAAACACAGATTGCTAAGTGCCTTCCTGGAAGAGTGTTTCCAGTGGTGTTGGAACTTACACAGGCTGCTTTTCACAAACATTTTGCTGGGGGTCACATTGGAATGAACAGAACATGAGAAGGAAGCTGTCCCTTCAGAAAAAGGCAGGGTTGGTGTGCTCAATGACACAGCGCTTGCAGTGGCGTTTGACAAACCGCAGGGCCTCCACGGACACCTCGCAGTCCTGGACGTTGAGCATCTGGAGGTCAAAGCAGTTGGCGGCCACGATCTGCAAGCCCTGGCCAGTGATGCTCTCGCAGGACTTGAGGCTGAGCCGCTTGAGGTTGAAGCAGTTCAGGGCCAGACATTCCAGGCCCGTGTCGGAGACCAAAGGGCATTTGCCGATGTCCAGAGACTTGAGTTTCGTGCAGTTCTTGGCTAGGTACTCCACGCCGTGGTCCGTGATGCCCTCGCAGCCCCTCGCATTGAGGTAGCGCAACTTGCTGCAGTACTTGGCCACGTAGCGGATGCCCACGTCGGTGACCCGACCACAGTGGGCGATGCTGAGGTACCGCAGGCGGGACTCCAGCTTGGCGATCTCCCGCAGACCGAAGTCGCTGACGAAGCGGCAGTCACTGACGCTCAGCTCCTTTATGGAGGTGCAGTAGATCACCAGGTAGCGGAGCCCCTCGTCGGTGAGGCGCACGCAGCGGCGCAGGTACAGGTGCGTAAGCTGCGTGCAGTGCGCAGCGATGGTGTGCAGGCCCTCATCCTCCAGCACGAAGCAGTCCGTCATGTCCAGGTAGCGAATGGAAATCTGTTTACCATGCAAGGGGGACAGTTTAATGGAGGCCTCCCGCGTCAAGCTGATGCAGGTCACCTTGGAGCACCCTGTGCAAAGAGAGGGGACACATGCTCAGAGCAGCTGGAGAAAACCAGAAGGCTAGGGACATTGCGGCTGAGTCACACCCCTCCCCCCCCAAACTTGGGGACACCTCCCCTCCCCCACCTAAAGCCTTGACCCACTACAGAGAGGAAGACCAGCAATTGGTTCCCCCCTGTTCATGTCATTAGGATTAAGGGAATTCACAAGCTCCATAATAACAAGGATGAAGGTTCCAATTCCTGATCTACTGTTAGTTTGCTAACTTGGGGCAAATCACTCCTTCTGAGAGCTCTTTGTCTTAAACTGGGAATAGAGTTTGCTCCCTGCAAGGTAGAGGTGAAGAAACAAGACAACACATTGTTTCTAATCTCCTAAAAATGTGTGTGGATAAATTTCATCTCTACTATGTATCATACATAGATGTTATATACTTGAATGATATGTAATATGTGGAATATTTGATGGAATACATTGGTTCAGTATGTATTTCTTTATAAGAATGTGTAGCGTATTTACAGTATTCAAATAAACAGGTATCCATTGGCTTTGATTACAGAATTATAATACATGTATGTGTTATATGTGTAAACATACTATTTGATACATACATGCTATGTGATTTCTGCGGTAGAATATAGATACACATAATTTCACTCCACCATGCAGACTGTATATCTATTTCCCACTTTCTCTTGGCTTGTCCTGAATCTTCCAGGCAGTTCTAATGCCAGATGCCTTACTTCAGAGCCTCTGCACATTGCCTGGTCAATGCGTTCTCTGAAGCTCTGAGCAGCTGCCCACCAGTGCAGCTGGAGATTCTTCCCATCTGGCAGGTGGCTCAGAAACTTAGGAAACTCAGGTCTGGGAATAATAAGGTTGTAAAGTCACGTGCTACCAAGTTAAAGAATTTGACGAAGAGGTGAGGCATGGCAGTGCGATTCGGGGAAAGAGACTCCCAGGAGCTGCTCGTGCTGTGAAATGTGGTCTCCGTGATTTTGCGGAAGGCGGCTCGGTCTCCTCAAGTTCGGTGCTGAAATCTTCATTTGCTATGTGTGTTGCCACTAGCCTGACCAGCATTCTGCCTGTTCTGTTTCTTACGCTGCTGTAGTTGTTTCTCCTTTTGCAGTGTGGGTGAAGGCATGGAGTTACAAGTTCAAGTGACAGGCCTTGTTCCTTAACTCATGGATCCAGTCACTTGCATTGTTTTTTAACACCTCATGACATCTCCAGCATTCCAGGAAAGATACAACACTTGGTCTAGGAAAATTTATATCTTATTTTTGAAACTGAGGTACAGATTGAATAAAACAGTTCTTTTATCACAGATTTGGTAAATTATTTTGATATGCTTGTATTACTTTAGATCAATCTTTTTTTTTTTTTAATTTTAACTTTTGCCCTAATTGGTGGTTCATGACTCATTTGGCAATATTTATGTTTAGTTACACCAGTGGGCAGTGGTTTCCTCCTACATATATTATAAAATGGATAGAACACTAGAAATCATCCTATTTATTCTCCACTTAATATAAGTAGGTATACATATCAGAGAGAAATAAGGAGAGAGGACACAGTGAGAGAGAGAGAGAGAAAGGGGAAGAGAGAGAGAGGGAGAGAGAGAGAAAGTGGGCATTTGACATACTGGTTAGATCGCCTCTTTGGACAGTTGCCGCTATAGTGCAGCATCTGTCTTGAGTCCCAGCTACACTGCTTGAACCCAGCTGGAGACCCTCAGGGTCCCTGGCTGTGTGGGCACCCGGGAAGTGAATCAGCAGATGAAAGGCCTCCGTCTCTTGGGCTTTCGAATAAAATAAAGATAAAAACACGAAAAATTAAAAATAAAGTTTCTCCTGAGTAAATAAACACGAGAAAAAATATGATGCTCATAATGAGTCAAGAGAAAGGAATTTGAAAATATACAAGCATTTAATTACAAAGGCCAGTGACACTCTATCTACACATTCATAGGCAGATTCCCACCCCACCCCAAACTCCTGCGAGGAGTCCCTCAGTCCACTAGGAGGGAGACAAGGAAAGCATACCTAGGCACCTGAACAATAAGATGGTTAAAAGAATTGCTTGGGTGGGCCAAACACGAAAGAGGGAGTGGCATGCACACCAGAGAGGCACCCACACACCACTGCACGCGGGGATGTGATGTGTTCAGGCAGACACAGGTGGTTCCATAGCAAACCCACAGCACAGGGGTGAGATCTGAGCCTGGAAGGGTTATCTCAAAAGGGGCCCTGCGTGCCTGGCTGAGAGCCTGAATCGTTCCTGTGGGTGTGGGCAGGAACTCGGGATTCCATACGGGAAAGTGGCTGGCAGTCTGAAAAGTTCCCTGAGGAGGTAGGTGACGTGACTTTGAGCAGCACGGCTTGTGAAGAAGACTGAGAGGATGGACTCAAGGTCCTGGGAAAGAAGAACCAGCAGGCCAGGATTCTGATGGTTGGGCCCAAACGCTCAGGGAGAAAAACAAGGGTGCCACCCAGGTCCTCCAGGTGGAGAGGATCTGCCTGCTGCTACTTCAGTAAAGTGATGACACTCGGTGGGGCTGGTGGTGTGGCATAGCCAGTTAGGCCCCTGCCTGTGGCATCAGTATCCCATAGGAGGCCTGTCAAGTCTCAGCTGCCCCAATTCTGATCCAGCTCCCTGCTAATGTGCCTGGGAGAGCAGTGGAGGATGGCCCAAGCACTCAAGTCCCTGCACCCACGTGGGAGATCCAGAAGAAGCTCTTGGCTTCAGACTGGCGCTGCTTCAGACACTGTGGTTATTTGAGGAATGAACCAGCTGATGGAAGCTCTTATTTTCTCTCTCTCTCTCTCTCTCTGTCTCTTTGTAATTCTGACTTTCAAATAAAAATAAATCTTTTTAAAAAATCAATCACACTTGATATTTTGAAAGTGGATTGGTTGCAAGGTATCTCACTGATGTCTAAAAACAGTGCTAATAAAACATGCATAATAGGCGATCAATGATTTTTTAAAAAGGCTATATACAGTTAGTTGTGGTGACTTTGAATTATTTGAACACATAGTTTTCAACTGCAATGGGATAGGTAGTGTTTTCCCTCTGGGAAAAATGACGTTCCATACCAGTCATCCCTTCAGTCTTTCAAAGTCAAGTTTACTGGCACTGGGAAGGCAACCGTGCTCAGAGCAAGGAGCATGACATCAAGTCTGGCGCCTTCTCCTGGGCCAGCACCTGCGCTGCCTGAGAACTGGCGGCTGCTGAAAGTCCACCCTACGGACTGCTGTCCTTCTGATGCATTTGCCCGAGTCTAGGATTCTGTGCTCTGACTTTTCAAGCCACAGACCCACCAGGGTTAGTCTCTGTGTATACAGACCCTTGGGTGGCTGAAAGGTACACGACACAAACACACTGCAAGCTATGAATTCGTCAGGTGGGCCTAGAGGACAGTCACCAAGGCTTAATGCTGCTTCTCAAGCGAGATTACTGAGGCTGGGAGCCTGACCGTTTCCATTCCAAACAGCAAAACTGGTTTCTGGATTCCTGAGTTCCAAAAAAGACAGGGCACAGTAACTGAGAGCCCTTGGTAAAAGCCCAGACATGAATCACTTTCTAATCTGAAGAAACAAAAGAAAATGAGGTGTTTATAAAATGTGTGGGCTCCTGGAAGGTAAAGGACCTAGTTCCTTGCATTTCATCATCATCATTACTATTAATATTATTACTGTGTGTGTGCAAGAGCCTAATGGCTAGATCTTCGCCTTGCATCACCAGGAATCCCATACGGATGCCGGGTCGTATCTGACGACTGCCCCGTCTCGCCTATAACCTGCAAGAAAGGGACCCTCCAGGTGGCTACACTGCTAACTGCTTTGGGATGGTGCACTGGGGAGGGCCGCTGCTGGGGTGACTTCCTTTTTACCTGACACGTCCAGGTGCTCCAGATTGGGGCAGAGGGACACCACGTCGAAGACTGCTTCGTTGGAGATGTTGTAACAGCCTGAGACTTCGAGGCGCCTCAGTTCGGGGCAGCACTGAGCGATGGTGTAAAGGCCGCGATCTGTGAGCCGCTTGCAGCCGCTCACGGTCACGGTCTCCAGCATGAGGCAGACGTTGGGCGTGTCCTGGCAGAGCCTGCGGGTCAGCACTTTGAGGGCGCGGTCCACGTGGATGGTCTCACCCGTCAGGCGGATAGTCCTCCAGAGGCGTGGGTCCCAGGCCAGGTTGTACCAGCGGCGGCACACGCGCGCACAGCGGCACAGCTGGTTGGTGGGCAGGAAGGAGAACACCAGCACCATGCACTGGTCGGGGAGCCGGTCGATGCTGGCCTGCTCTTTCTGCGGCCGCGACGCCAGCCGGATGAGCGGGTGCGTGAGGCGGGTCGGTGGCGGGGAGTGGACCATGGCCACCGTCTCCCCGGTGACGGAGGAGGAGGACGTGGACGAGCCTCTTCCATTCTGAAATCCTGGCAGAGTCGGGGGACAGATCAGGGCTGGGCTGGGCGTGCTCAGGGTGCGCATGCTCAGGTCGGAGTCTGGCAAAGGACAGAGAACAAGCGTTAGAGTGGTGACCCTGGCAGGACCCCAGGACGGAAGGAGTGAGAGGACCCTCACAGGGCACAGAACTCTCATTCGAAGGATTCAGACTCCTGCTGAGGTCCTCCCCACACGCGGGCGCACACGCAAACGTCACCCATTCCTCGAAACCCCCTGCCAGGGTGGGCAAAACGTCCGGCAGGTGACCACATATCGGCTGCCCGAAGCTTTGCAGACCAGTGGGTTTTATCTGCTCTGCAGTGAGCCCCACCGGCTGTGGTGGGGGCAGGCACTGCGCAAACGGCGAGTGAATGCTTGGCCTGGCTGCTTCAGCACACGGTCGTAGGAAAGCCACTGCGTGGCGACCTCCAGTCTACATTACCAGTGTACATCACAGCTTCCAAGTTTCATTGTTTCTGTTCCGGGGAGAAGCCTCCTCCATGTCGATTACAGAAACCAAGGGCTTGCAACTCTTAACACGACGGGGTCGGCTTGTTTACCAATGGAGTTTCTCCAGAAAGAAACCTTGCGCGTGGGTGCCCGCCACACTTACTGCGATGTCCTTTGCCCTTCCCAGCCCCACCCCCAGATCCCTGACTTCAGGTTAGGGGAGCACCCCACTCCCTCTGTCACCCCAGGTTCTTCAGGAGGTAGTTCCAGGTCTTGACTGTCTTATTAACAATCTCTGCCCCATCTTGGTATCACGAATCTTACCCGGCCTTTGGAATCAGGACGATCACTTGGCAGAGGCCAGCAGCAGCGTTTCAGTTTATAAAAGATCAAGGTTTCTTTATGATACTCAAGAAGCGTGCCCATTCCCTCCCCATCTTAATACATGAGAAATAATTCACTCTCCTTTGAAATATATTTACATATCATCTATGAAGATTTTTACATACATACATAGATCTATTTGAGAATAATCTATTTACTTTCATAGATAAACTTGCTCTATAAATAGTCAAGTATATTTATAGATTTTATATATACGAAGAGAAAGACACAGAAAATGCATCCAAAATACAGATTTTTTTCATTTCTAAAAGAAGTGACTTGAACTGACAATTTCTAAGTCATTTCCAGTTTTTTTTTTTTTTAAGATTTATTGATTTTTTTATTGGAAAACCAGACGTACAGAGGAAAGGAGAGATGTGTGCTGGTTCGCTCCACACAGCTGTAGGAGCTAAGCTACAGCACTGGGCTCACAGAAAATGAACACACGTGTGCTGAGGACGCATTTGCCATTTTATTACAGATTTTCCCATTGCTGGTTTTCTTTTCTTTTTAAACAAAATTATTTATTTTTGTTGGGAAGTCAGATATACAGAGAGGGAGAGACACAGAGGAAGTTCTTCCGTCCCCTGATTTACTCCCCAAGTGGCTACACCTGCTGGTGCTGAGCCTATCCAAAGTCAGGAGCCAGGAGCTTCTTCCGGGTCTCTCATGTGAATGCAGGGTTCCAAGGCTTTGGGTCATTCTCGAGTGCTTTCCCAGGGCACAAGCAGGGAGCTGGATGGAAGGTAGAGCAGCTGCGACATGAACAGGGGCCCATATAGGATCCAGGTGCGTGCAAGGCGAGGTGTTATAGCTATTAGGCTATCGCACTGGGCCCTTCCTTTCTTTTTAAATTTAGTTCTTTACTTATTCTACAAAAGAGCGAGAAGGGTATACACCTGTTTTATGGAGCATCTCTGGCATATCACCATGCTCCCTGTCCCAAGTTTTCTTGCTGCAACACAAATCCCTTTCTCGGCAGAGTGCACATGCTAACTGCTCTAAGACTCTGGCTGGTGTTCTTCAGATAACATCGATTCTCTTTTAAAATCCATACCCTTTTTCATATAAACATTTCTCAATTCCTCTTTCCCTGACCTAATTAACTGCATCACTTTTCTGCAGTGTGTCTTCCGCACCCCTCACTCTCTTGTCAAGTAACATGGCAGTTCTCTGTAGGCGGACTACGACTCGCAGTCTGGTGGGGCATGACCACGTGGCTTGCATTGAGGAGTGAATGCTAGAAGAAAGCCAACGTTGTCGCTGGATTTGATCTTTCCATCTACTATTGCCATGCGAGAAGCTTGGCTGGTGAGTGAAGACCCCTGTCCTAGACAGAACTGCTCCCAAACTGCAGTGTAGAGCCTGACTCAGCTTAGTCCGGCTTTATTCAACCAGTGCCTGGATGAAACATGGATGCCTGAGCTGGAATAGCCAACTCTTTTAATCCACTGAGTTTTGCGGTGACTTGTTACACAGCATCACTGTGGCAAGAGATAATGAATATACCTCCCGTTACACCAACAGCTCCTTTGGGGCAGGGATTAATCCTTCCTTCATTTGTATCCTGACAGCCCCTGGTGTGGTTAATGGTATATAGTAGGTATACAACAAACGGATCGAATTACATAGAAATACTTACATGTATTTTTTATATTTTTATTTTTTTTAAGATTTATTTTATTTTTACTGGAAAGGCGGATATACAGAGAGGAGAGACAGAGAGGAAGATCTTCCGTCCGATGATTCACTCCCCAAGTGAGCGCAATGGCCGATGCTATGCCGATCCGAAGCCAGGAGCCTCCTCCGGGTCTCCCACGTGGGTGCAGGGTCCCAAGGCTTTGGGCCGTCCTTGACTGCTTTCCCAGGCCACAGGCAGGGAGCTGGATGGGAAGTGGGGCTGCCGGGATAGAACCGGCGCCCATATGGGATCCCGGGTGTGCAAGGCGAGGACCCCAACTACTGCGCCACCGCGCCAGGCCCCTACATGTATTTTTTGAAAAAGCAATTCCAGCTTGGCACATAGTTTTCTCAATCAGGTGGTATACATATTGCATTTTAAATCACTCATAAGAAATAAGTACATGTTTCTTCTGTTACCAGTAAGAAAGAGCACTAGATCTTTTTGGAAATCCAATTAGGGATTTCAAAATTTCCAGCTGGGCTGCCCCTCACGGTCCTGACTATCACGTGTACTCGGAGAATCGCCTCTCAAGTCCCTGTTCTCCAAGCAAATGAACAACTTATTTCAGGCCAGGAGAAAGGCTGCCTTGGGCTCTCGGCTGGGACGGGTTAGCAGCTCTGAGGGCTTTGGGATAATGCCTCCTGCCCGTGGAGCTTCTCCTTGATCTGAAGGAGAAGCCATTTAATAATGCCCGTCAGAAACAGGCGTGGGCCAGTGGGCCGGGATTACCCTGGATATAGGGGTAAATCTTTACTTGTGTCAAATATAATGTTGTGGTCAGTTATGAATATGTAAGAGCCAAGAGAAGAGAGAGATGAGAACATCGCAGTGTATGAAGGCAAAATGGTGGCCTTTCAGGGAGATATTAACAATCTTTCGCAATAGGATGATCCTATTGTTTGTATTTGATATTAAGATTGTGTCATCTGTGCTGTTACTGATTCTCAGTTCATAGATTTACAGGCCAAAAGGAGATGACTGATTCATTAATTGCTGAGTTAATACATAATAAATAGTAATACTCCTCCTAGACCAGGTCTAGAAATGAAGTTACTGTTTGAGCAGATTACAGAGCAAACATCCCGGCCACACAGTCTACACTGCGGCCCCGTGCGAGCAGCTGCACAGTACACTCTGCTGTCTCCAATCACTGGCATCTTCCAGGGACACAGAAAATGGCCCTATGCGGATCATGTCCAAAAATGGCTCTACACAGAGAATGTCCACAAATCACACAAAATCCAGCATGGAAAAGGGAAAGCAAGTTTGTCAGAGTCAAAAAAAAAAAAAAAAAGGTATTTTTTTTTCAAAGGTCCACAATAAGGTCATAAATACAGAATCTCCCAAGAGTGGAAAACTTTTCAATGAAACAATATTTTTAATGAGCTTTTGGGTTTTCTCAAAATGCATGTAATCTTTATTTGACACAAAGATGATCCTTAAGTCAAATAATTATAATTGCACTTTTTTTTTAGCCTGGCACATTCATGTGTTGACAAAATGAAGAGACAGTGGATACTTTGCAGTTTAAGAACTTTTGGCTCCATTAGTAATTAAAAAGGCTTTCAAGTATGTAAATTGTGTGGGAATAAAGTTTCACGTTCTTAAATTACTTTTAGTGTGTAAAGAATATGGAAAAGCATAGCTGTCTTTTTCAGATGGAAAAATCCTATAAACTTTTTTTTTTTTTTGCCCCTCAGGGTTCCAGAGGTCCTGGAAGTTTTATATTTTTAGTAATTACAGTATCAAAAAATATTCAGAGCATCGCAGACATACATGCTTATTAGACATTTTCTTCGAACTAGAGAGCCGCTTGTTTTGTACAAGTTTTTATTTTCAAACCACTGCTGTTTACACTCTAGGAAGTCATATTTACATTACTCTGGGCTTTCAAAGTCAAAATTTACAAAGCTATTCTGCGTATCCCCCCTCTGATTACCAAAACTTTTGTGCAAGATGCTTTCCATTATAAGTTGTCTTTCTCCTCAAGAACTCTTGCCATAAAAAGCAAGGTTTCTTTTCTTAGCTTAAACTTAATCTTAAGAAAACAGATCGATAAAACCTAGCTAGTGAGAAAAAAATGCAATTTGAGTGCTCTTTTATCTTCTTGTTTTATTTCAAAATATTTTCTTTTCATGTGATTCCAATCATATAAGCACCCCAGAACTTACTTAAGGCATCCATTCTTATCAAATACAAATGCAGATAGACAAGGTTAATCTTGCATTTCACCTGGAAGGAGTTATCTTCGGAAGACAAAGGTTCATATCACCAGGAAAGGGAATCCCAAGGACTAGGGAATGGCTGAGAATCTTGTTACAGAACAAATCAGCTTGGCCAGTCCCCTAGGGTGGCCCTGTTGTAACTGCTGTGTGGAAACCTAACAAGGGCCATGAGATGTCTTCATTGGCAGGGGCAGATGACCCTGCCCGGTGCCCAGCTCTTCATGTTTGAACTCGAGTTTCCCAACCCTGGCCTAAACCCTGTGTGGCTTCTGGTAGTCTTTAGCTCTTCCAGAAGGGAGTATTTACACTGTAAAGG